CTGTAACTCGATTATAACCGCCGTATAACAGACTTTCAAGCCCGTACAGCGGAACAACGCTTGTAACCGCATATATTAGAGATTGCACCCATCTTGTAACTGTCATGTAACGAAGGATTAAGCCCGTTCAATTGGAACCGCGCGTATACCCTGAATATAATTGCGTTGTACATGATTTAAATTGGTGAGCGCGAAGCATGGTATTTAAGCAGCTAGGTTTACTGTTTCATTATTCCCTGGCCATTTTCTTCTGCAGCGGTAGCTTCCGGTCGGTGGACCTCTTGAACTTGAAGATGGAGTACGACTACTGAGAGTGTCAGTTTATGTTCGACGCAGTCCATGACACAGAAGGAGAAGATGGGCGTTATCCTGACAGGACAGAAGAAGTGAAACTTAAAATGGAGGCATGTTTGGAGATGTGTTATCATAATAATTAGTTTTAGGGTTTTCTTTAATGTTCTTTGTTGTTATGGTTTTCTTATCTTTATGATATATCTGTTTTTTTTGGAAGTGTATGTATGTTGTGTTATGTTTGCATAGTTGCATGGTATTAAATTTAATAAAAAATAGTGAAATAAACATTGAAGTAATTAATATATCCTTCATTAAACTCAAGTTTTTGGAGGCGCATGTTTGTAGATAAATAAAAATATTAAAGTATTTGGAGGTGCATGTTTTTTAGAGTTGTATGATTTTAGGTTAGTTTTTTTTTATTATTTTAAGGTGTCATTATGAAGTTTAGGGATGCTTTTTGAGCTTTCCATTGTGTTTAACATTTTATTCTCTCGATTGCAGTTTGGTGAGAGCAATGCTAGTTGTACCGAGCAAAGAACAAACATATTACTCCAAACATTGGTCCACAATGAGAAAGAAGTTTATGAAGTATATTATGCTTACGTTCATCATATTGGATTCAGTGTTTGTAAGGATCACACTACGTTTTGGAATAACTCCAAAAATATCAAGATGAAGGACTTTGTAAGTGGAAATGCAGGTTTCAAGAAAGAGCTCAAGATTACATAAACTGTTAAATATAGAAGAGCAGAAACAATAATTGGTTGCCCTGCAATGATCCGATACGGATTTGATGAGGAAGGCAATTAGACAGTTAAAAATTAATTGAATCGCATAACCACTCATTAGCAAACTTCGGTGACAAACACTTGTTGCGTTCCAGCAGAAAGATAAGTGAAATAAATACAGATGTACTTAGATCCATGACACAGTCTGGGATAAGACCAAAACTCATGTTTAACTTCCTAGCCCAAGAAGTTGAGGGTGTAGAGAACCTGAAATGTACAAAGACATATGCTTTCAACTACACTCAAAGAGGGAAGAGATGTAAAATTGAAAATGGTGATGTCAATGTTTTATTGCAGTTGTTTGTAGAGAGTCGTGCTGAGATAACATGTTCGAAGGGGATTTTGAAACGGATGTGAGCAGCATGCTGATGAGTTTTTTTTGGAGCGACTGGGCATCCAGGCTTGATTATAATTGCTTTGGATATCTGATTATATTTGATACAAGCTATAGGTTAAATAAATATAACATATGTTGTGCTCTTATTGTTGGTGTTAACCATAATTGGCAGAATGTTGTATTTGGAGTCGGATTCTTGTCAGAGGAAATGACGGACTCGTTCAAATGACTTTTTAAAACTTTCATCCGTATCATGGGTGATAATCATCCAATAACAATCTACATTGATCAGGATTAGACTATGACTAGAGCAATAGCAAAAATTTTGCCAAATACACGACATAGATTTTGTCAGTGGCACATATACAAGAAATTGCCTGTAAAGGTTCATTGCAGCGTGCTGAGTAGGATAGTCAATAATCTTTTTTATAAATGCTTGAGAAAATGCGAGTCCGAAGAGGAATTTGATGATACATGGAGGGTGATGATTGAGACAGGTAATTTGCAGGACAATACTTGGCTAGATGATATGTACAATATTAGACATAAGTGGTCTACAACTTTTAGTAAGGATGTATTTGGAATGAAAATTTTATCGACACAGAGCAGCGAGTCAACTAATAACATATGGCATGATGTCTCAAAACCTATAAGTTCTATTACATATTGTTTCTTGGGCATTGAAAATGTAATGAGAACATGGAGGTGAAACAAAAAGGACGAGGATTTCAAATGTGATCAAACTATGAAGGAAAATCAACCACAAGTGGTGCTGGACAGACCTATAAAATAAGGAAATAAGATTGTATAGTTTAAATATTAAAATTCTTCATACAAACTCATAAAGAAAAAATTTGATACCTTATCAGGATAATTTTCATCAACATAAAGTGTTTCCACCTGTTCACGATCCTCCTCTTTCTCCTCAAATTTTGTCTCCTCCTTATTATCTACAGTTGGTTGATCAACAATAATGTCATCGTTTATAGTAGGCTCTAAAGCTGTTGATTCCCCCTTATTTACATCCTCTGCCTCTTCTCTAACAGAAGGTGAATGATGCAATTGGTCTACTTCACCTATTAATTAATAGATGTTGTTAATTATATTAGTAAAAAAAGAATTGAATTTGATCATGAGTTTTAAATGTATGTACCTCTTCAGGCTCCTCAGCAACTGCCTGTGCTGGTTTACTTTTCTTTTTTCATTCAAATACCATGTAGGGAGAACTGAGTTGCCGTTTCCTTCTATCATCTCTTACTTTAATCCTTCGAATTAAGCTACCTAGTGGGGACGCTGTGGCCCGTTTCAATGGTAATTCCCCCCCAGGTTGTTTTATTGCTTTATGTAAATCTACAACTTCAGCTTTTAATTATGTAATTGTATTCTCTATATTTGTAAGACGATTGTCAACTGTGCCTTTAAAGCCTATGAACAATTTATGATGATCTCTAAGTAGTGCATGTATTTCTTGAAGACACATAATAGGAGGGCTAGTATCTGTTTATGTGTGAGCATGTGTTGGTTTTGTGCCGCTGCGATAAAGAACTATATCAAAAACAAGAATGAATGTGGGAGATTGTGGTCGGGATTGAGTCTCCCGTTATGCTAGATTCTTTTCGGGGCTGGATGGTTTTTCACGAGCTGGGGCAAGTAATTCATGTTCGCTGTATTTTATTTCAATGAAATAATCATAAACCTGCAAGTCAGTAAATAAACTCAAACTCAATGAAATTATAATGAAATTATAATGAAATCATAATAAGACTGTATATGGAATTAATAAATAACTAAATCACCTCAACATTCTTGATCTAATCTCAGGCACTGCTGGGAGGACCAATGAGGTATGCTCATAAAACCACAACTGCATGAAACATGATACAATAATTTACTGCAATGCCTAAAATTATGAATATTAATTTTCATGACTTATATGAATAATACAAACCTTTAGGAGGAATACAAAACCAGTAATGTATCCCAACGGCTGATCTTTCTTTATTTTCATGGCACAGATATTGAGTTGTTCGGTCTGAAAATTACATACAGTTGCTGGCCAGTTATAAGTTGTAAATGACTCAACATCCTCACAAATACATGACAACTCTTTTGACATTCTGAAGTTACTTGAAGGAAAAAGTAAAATTGACATTAAAAACTTTATTAATAATTGTAAAAGGGCATTCGAGGACTCCTTTGGTGACTAGTTTAGTAGTGCGGTCTTTAATTATCGCGTATCCATACTAGCTGGCGGGGCATTACTCCAGTATGCAGGGAAACCTCTATTTGGCATGCCAAACAGGAGTGCAACCTCGTCAGCATAAAATTTAAGCTCTTTCCCTCCGAGGTGGAATGTCATTCGATCAATATTCCAACAATTTATTATGTGCATTGCCAAAATATGATCTTGAGGGTCAGGGGGGGGGGAGTACAAAAAACTGAGTGTGGGTAGCAGTTCAAAAAACTGAGCTAAATTCAGTGCTTCCAATTTACTCCATGTTTCCTCATCCACTGACGGTCGAACCTTATCGAGGACTTCTAGTACTCCAGATGGACGCCACCTGCAGTTCATTGATTTTGCGCTAAAAAATCACAATAATACATCATAATATGTTAAGATCAAATTAAAATCCAAATGATGATAAAAGGATGAATTTAAGAATTAAACCTAAAACATAACCAAGCTTTATAGATTCGAAATGAAATTCTAAAAAATACCTAGATTCAATATCTTTCTTCTTCCTTAACTCCTTCCTTACGACCGCCTTTGACCATTTACGGTGCCTCCTCGCATTCGGGTTTCTTAGCCTCTCCCAACTCCGCGACATTGGCCTCTACCAAATTAATTTTCGTGATCTCGGCGCTTACCTCTTCCAGTGTTCCTTCGCCTTACCAATCCACACTCTACTGCGAAAGGAAGACGGCGAAGGAAAACCCTAGCACGCGCGAATGCCTGTTTTCGAAAATGAAGAGTCCCTGTATTGGTTTATACCTTTTACCAAGGTTATAAAACACGATTTTTTGAGGTTATAAGAAGGTTGCAATTCATAATTAAGAGGTTACAAGAGGATTATAACCGCGGTTCAACGTTATATAGAGGTTTCAGCCAGGCTACACGCGCGATATATATTAAAGGTTACAACCGGGTTACAAAAAAATTACTGTCACGTTACATGTTTCTTTACCGCGAAAGGTATACGCGGTTACAAGCGCATTACATAAGTCTTTACTGCGGAAGGTATACCTTATGTATAGCGCGGTTATAAGTGCATTACATGAGAGTTTACCGTTGAAGGTATTGCTTGAATATAGTCCGGTTACAAACGCATTACATGACCCCGTGGAAGGTACATCACTAGTATAACCAGATTACAACCGCGTTACTACAGACCGACCACGGGATATATAGGAAGGGTATATCGTAGTTAAAGATCAGGGTATAAACTCATTATATCACGAGCCGGGTAATGGAGGGTAATGGAACAGGTGCGAAATTATTTTGATTTATTTTATTAATTTAATAGACATCGCAAATTTTTTCCAAAAATTTGAATGGCCCCCGAAAATTTTGTCTAGAACCCCGACTTCCTCTCGTCCATTTAGACGCCTGGTTGAATTCCGTATCCTCTACTCTTTCCGCTCGATCTCGGTTAATGGCGGTTCTACCGATTCTTCGGTTTGAAGATAAGATCGTGGAGACCGTGGAGAAGAATCCCGTTGTCGTGATTATAGGAGAAACTGGCTCCGGAAAGAGCACTCAGCTGTCTCAGATTCTACACAGGAGAGGATACACTCGATCTGGAGCCATCGCAATCACCCAGCCTCGCAGAGTTGCTGCTGTATCTCTTTCGAGGTTTATTTGGCTATCTCTTTAATTTTCTTTTTTTTCAGGTTTATTTGGCTATCTCTTTAATTTTCTTTTTTTTTTTTGTTTTTTGTCTTAAAGTGCTTGTCTGGCTGTTGGTTTCGAAGCATCTTTGAACAGAGAAGAAACCATCCACCGGGGTTTCCTAATCTGCTCTATTTCAACTTGCGCATAATGTCGATAATGATTTTGAGTTCTACTAACTTTAAATACTTTACGTTCCATGTTCTATTTCCCGTTTTGTTTGAACAATTTCACGAAGGAAATAAAAAGAGTTGATTTCCATTTTTTTGTTGGAATTCACTTATCTAAGAGGTTTAAGTTGAGGGATTTTAGAGAATTCTTAAGGCTCTTTCTTCACTGAATAATGCGGAAAATCGAGTTTTGGTATTTAAATAGCATATGCCTTGGGAAATGTGCCAGTGAATGGATAATTCATACTTCGTTAACCAATGCTCAACATGCAGTTGATCTTGGTAATAACATTTAAGTGATAGAAGACATAGCCCAAAATAGCAACGTATCCTATTTTGCGTTAAGCTTTTAAAACAAGTCAAGCTTCGATAGAAATAAGGGATGACGGATTAACTTGGGCTTGCCCACTTGTTTTGGTTCGGAAGGCTTGGTAAAGATCAACTGATGTTATTTTGCTGATATCCTGATTAGTAGCTACATGAGTAACCCTGGTTTAAAATTGTGCAATATGAGGTCCACGTCAATGCTTTTTTGAAAATTTCATAATGAGGCTCTTGCCTCGTTAGATGCAACATGTGGCTTACCCCTCACATAATATGAGGCTCATCTTAATGTGCACCTCGCCTCAGTTCTTGTGAGGTGTGCACAATTAGATATAAGATTTTCATTAAACCAAGTATAAATAAAATATAACTTAATAACTTTCTTTGTTTTCATATATATTATAAAATTGAGGATGTAATTAGGTTGTTACTGTCAATATTGTCATTATTTTAAAATTTCATAAATATCAATATTAGTTAAATAAGAGGAAGATGATTGAAATTTAAGATGAGTAGGATAAATTAGAGAATACAAATATAATTTCGGATAAAATGAGAGAGAATAAATATTTATGTCGATGACTCTATCGAAGACTTATTAAGAGATGAGAATGATGAAAACTAATATGAATATAATTGAGAATAAAATGAGATAGAAAATAAATTGTTATGCCGATGATTCCAAAGAAGACTAAGTAACAAGAATGATGAAAACTTTTGAATTTAAAAATTCTAACATTAGTGACTTGTTATGTTCTTATTTCTATGAAGGATAGTGGGAATGAGAGAGATTATTTTTATTGAATTTTTTTTTTAATTATTATGCTACTATGTCTTATTTTTGATATTTGTATAATTATCATTTATATTTAATTATTTATATTTGGATGTTGACATGCTGTTCTTTGCTTTGAACAATTTATTATTTCTGTTATATAAGGACGTTCATATATTGCTTTTTAATAAATTAATAGGTTATGATATTAATATGTTATCTTTTATGATATACTTTCAACTTAATATATTAATTTTTATGCAATTTTTAAATTTTGAGGAATACGCCTTCAATTATCTCGAGCTTACGTCTCATCACACGGCCTAAAAATACCTCACTACGCTATTGTGCTATTTTAAACATTGAATAGCAACGACGACATCGACAACAACAACAATAATAATAATAAACATTCTTAAATACTTAAATGTGTAAAAAATATAATTTAAATGCATTATAAGAAGCTGTGATAATAATAATACTTTTACTGACAATTCTTTCATTTTATTTTACACTTTCTTTGTCTTAGAAGTGTCATATTATATTTGGATGAGCTTTGAATTATTATTTTTTTTATTGGGTTATCACCCAATTTTTAAAACATAAGTTGCTGATGAAAATTGGTCGTTCTAACATTTTAATTTATCAAGGACCCCCTAATACTAATTGTTCTGCAACCTTAATTTAAAGAGTTGGGAATTCAATAATTTACCTATCAAGGCACATCTTATAAAAAATCTTGCCTTTTCTTTTAAAGTTATCGATACATTTTTTGTACACCTATCACGATAAATATGACATTCTCTCTATCAATATTACCAACTGTAATCATTTTCACTTGCTTTTATTTCTTAAGTTTAATATAACTTCAACAATTACATTATCAATATGCACAAGAAGTACAGTCTGACATATAATAATCATCAAATTGTATTTTCAATTGTAATTCTATGAAATACTGTAAATTTAAGCTAAATATGTGTTCATTTGCATCATTAAATCAGGATGACTGTAATAGTTATGCTCAATATAAAATAATTTCTAAATAAAAATATACAACAAATATTATATAATAATATGCAATAACAATTATTGCCCTAGTGCCCTACATATAATCTACTTCTTCATTTAGCAAATGAATATATTATTTTAGATGTTGGACTAGCCTCACAATGAATAGCTTTCCTAAGCTTGCCTTGAGCTTGCCTCCTTATTTAAATCTTCTAGAAATACCAACTTTATTTGATTATATGAAATTCTTGAATAAAACTTAATTTCGGCATAAACTAACTACCGATGGAAATTCTTACCTTAAAATTGACTCCCCCTCATGCAAAATTTTCTTCCTCTCCTTCAATGCCTTTTAGTTTCCTCTTATTTTTTACTTTCCTGTCATGACCATCTCTTAAGAAGTCGAATGTGGACTTCAAATGTAGATTACATAAAAGATAACAAAGAACTACTTATGATTTTGGATTAATTACATTACATTATTCTTAGCCAATCGGCTCCATAGCAATGCCATTGCTACCACCATGCTGACCCTATTCATCATTACCAATCTGGTCTCCTTCGACCTACGTCTTGCTTTATTAAAAATATGTATTAATACTACTATAACAACAACAAGAAGAGTTTATTCCGCAAAGTGGGGTTGGCTATGTGAATCCTTCTTCCCCATTGTGTCCAATTGAGTGTCATTTTTATTTAATTCTAATAAATTAAGATCAGTTTTTTATAAAAATATTTAAATTCATTTTACTCTTAACCAAGCTTAAAATAATAATTTCTTGAATTTTTTTAATATTTGTTATTTACTTTACACTGTATTTGAAATATGACCATATTCTAAATACTTGCAACTAAACAATTCTTAGGTTCAACAACAAATATTGAGATTTTTTTAGAAGTTGTAGTTAAAATTTGTTATCTATGTTAGATTGCAGAGTACTAATTGAGTGAAATTGAGCGCTTTAGTAGGTGGATTCAGTGATGGAGTGCATCAGCTATTTTTGATAGGGTTGTTGGTATTTTCTAAAGAAACTTCTCGTTTGTGTTATATTTTCTAAACATAATTAATTTTTTTTTATCTGCTAAACATACTTTATGAGCTTGTTAGCATTTACTGTTATGGCCATGCTTTGAAAATTTTTGTAAGGTTATTATAATTACTTTGAGACATGATGAAGCACTTCATTTGAATTTTGCCCGCTTTGACCTAAATTGTTGTATGCTTTATTTTCGCTTGGTGTGAGCCTTGCCAGATTAAACTTTGTTGTAATTTTTTTTTCTGTATGCTTTGAGTTTTTGTTCATTCTTGTTGCATGATATTTTTGATATTTAATGTACATTATTTCTCTCACATGTCTGGGTCACGTCAAACTTCATATTTCCTTTTTAAAACTGTTAAGAATTCACAAGTGTCATATTCAAAATTTGCTAGCCATTGTTTTTTTCGTTGTGAATATCTTGAAGGAAACATCTACTTTTTTTTTGAATGATGTATGCAAATCTAGAACTTTAGTATATTTTTCCGGATTGGAGGATCTTGCTACTCGACAAATTTTAAAAACCTAGCACTCATATAAATGAAATTAAGGTTCACAGTATTAAAAAATAAACTTTTGTTTTTAGGCACAACCACCCGTTAAATTGGTTACTGTGCGCATGCTGGCGCACAATTGGACGTTTAACCTGTGATTATGCAATAATTTTTTTTATCATTTTTTTTTTCTTTCCGAAAGAAGAGCAGTCTTTCTCTTCGTGAAAGAAGAGAGTAGAGTCCTTGAAGGAATAGCGGAAGCGTGAGTGGTGTCAAAGTTTTTTTCTTTTACTTTTTTAGGGGCATTTACATATATACCACCCAATTTATGTGGTAGTCGACTAGAAATAGTGTAGGTGTAAACATAGATAAGAGTTTGAAAGATAATATTATAAAAATTAATATAATTGGAGATAGAGTTATTTATAGGAGATAGAGTTATATCCCTTAAGATTGTTGTTGATACTAAGATTTTTAATGTTATAAGTGCTTATGCTCCTTAAGTAGGTTTAGATATCGATTCTAAAGAAATAGTACAAATGATACATGTTGAAGAAAAAAATTTTATAGGAGGAGATTTAAATGGACATATTGGTAGAGTGGTAGAAGATTTTAGAAATATTCATGGTGGCTAAGGTTTTGGAGTGATTAATGAAGAAGGTAGAACTATAGATTTTGCTTTAGCGTTTGATTTGTTTTTGTTATTACTTTATTTAAGAAAAGAGATGGACATGTTATTACTTATAAGAATGGATTTAATAAAACATAAATTGATTATTTTCTCATAAGAAGAGATTGTCGAAAATGTAAACATTGTAAGGTCATTCCAAGTGAAAATTTAAGTACTCAACATTGATTATTAGTTTGAATTTTAAGATGATGAGCTGTAAGATAAATAATACTTGGAATCATGTCATAAAACTACTTGAATTTTAAGATGATGAGCTGTAAGATAAATAATGCTTGGAATCATGTCATAAAACTACAGGAAAGATGAAAGCACCTAAAAGACAAATAAAATTATTTTTAAGGTAAACTTCAAGATTACAAGATTTGGAATGTTCATAAAGAAGTAAATTCTTTGTAAGATAAAATAACAAACACTATTAAACAAATGACAAAAGATGTACTTGGAGAATGAAAAAAAATTTTCTATAAATAAAAATAGTTAGTTATGGAATAATAAGTGCAAAAAAGGATAAAATATAAGAAGTTGTGTTATTAAAATTAATTTAAATATAAAAGCTTAGAAAATTTGAAAAAATATAAGGCGGCATATAGAGAATCTAAGAGAACAATCTGTGATGTTAAAATTTTTGTTTTTAGTGATTTTTATAATAAATTAGATACTAAAGAGGGTGAAAAATATATGTATAAATTAGTCAAACAAAGTGAAAAGAAATTAAAGATTTAACTCGAGCAAATTGTATTAAAGATCAAAATAAAAAAAAGTATTTTTCTTAGAAGAAGGTATTCAACATAAGTGAGTGAGTTATTTTGATAAAATTTTCAATGAAATTTTTGGACATGAGATCGACCTTAGTGATTTTAATATTGTTAATAATAATAAAATATTTTATTTTTTCCGTCGCATTAGTAAAAAAAAGTTGAGTAGGCTGTAAAGAGAACTAAGGTTGAAAAATCAGTATGACCTGATGATATCCCAATTGAAGTGTGATAGCATTTAGGAGATTTGAGAGTTTTGTGGCTTACTAAAATCCTTAATATTGTTTTAAAAACTAAAAGATGGTTGAGGAGTGGATGGAGAGTATTTTGGTCCCCATTTTTGAGAATAAAGGGGATACACAAGAGTGTGCAAATTATAGTGGAATTAAGCTGATATGTCATACTTTATTATTATGGAAGAGAGTAATTGAACATAAGTTAAGAATTGATACAAATATTTCTCATAATCAGTTTGAATTTATGTTGGACAGGTCTATTATGGAAACTATACATTTATTGAGAGGTTTGATGGAGAAGTAGTGAGATAATAAAGAGGGTTCACATATGATTTTTATTGATTTAGAAAAAAAACTTATGATAAGGTTCCAAGAGACGTTCCTTGGAGTGTTCTAGAGAAAAAATGTTCTAATAGGTCTCATATTCAAGTCATTAAAGATATGTATACTAAAGCTGTTAATTTTGTTTGAATTGTGACCAAGTACTTTCCTATTTTAGTTGGATTACATTAGGGGTCATCTTTAAGCCCATATTTTTTTGCTTTATTTATCTTACTGGACATTTACAAGGGGATGTAACTTGGTGTATGCTTTTTGCCGATGATATCCTTGTTGTTGATAAGACTAGAGAAAGAGTTCAGACAAAAAGCTCAGGAAGAACTTGAATTATGGAGGTCTACATTAGAGTCTAAATGTCTTCGTTTGAGTAGAACTAAATTTGAATAAAGGAATATAATTTTAGTAGTAGTAGCTCTACTGGCAAAGCTGTAACGATGGGTGATCAATTCATTAAAAAATGTGAACGTTCTATATATCTTGTGTCTGTTGTTCAAAGTGATGATGATATAGATGGGGACGTTATTAGTAGAATTCAAGTTGGTTGGTCGAAGTGGAGGAATGCTTCTGGTCTACTGTGTGATAGAAAAGTACCGCCTAAACTAAAAGTAAAATTTTATAAGATGGTGGTGAGATATGCAATGCTCTATGGAACAAAATGTTGGGCTTTAAAAGAGAAGCATAAAACAAAGTTAAGTATTGTTGAGATGAGAATGCTTAGGTGGATGAGTGGCTTGACACTTAGCGACAAAATGCATAATGAATATATCTGTGATAGGGTTTGTGTAGCTCCAGTGACGGGCAATATTTGAAAGAGTTGTCTTAGATGGTTTGGTCACCTTAAACGTCGACCATCCGATAATCTTGTTAGGAGAGTAGATGTTTTAGCTTCAACTGATGCAAAGAAAGACAGTGGTAGACCTTAAAAGACTGGGCATATTGTATAAAAAAATGTTCTTAATCTATTAGAATTTAGAATTAAATGAAAATATGACACTCAATACGACACAACGGAGAAAAAAGATTCATGCAGTTGACTCCATGACCCCACTTAGTGGGATAAAGGCTTGTTGTTGTTGTTGTTGTTGTTATTGTTGTTGTATTTCCATACTTCATTTAATTTAAGTCACATAGTTTAAGCAACACATATCATAAGCATTCCCAATGATGTTTACATACATACCACTTAATTCCTATTTATTCACCACAATTCAACATTTGATATCACATCAAAATAAATTATTATTAATAACTATTTAAAAGTAAAATATTCCTTTCAGGTGTAAATAAAGTGCTGCACATATAAAAATTTGAAGTTCAAGCATTAAATATGTAAATATAAAATTATTTTTGAAATTTAATTTATTAAGAAAATAAAAAAACAATGTTTTGTGGTCACTGAAAAAAAAAAAAAAAACTAAAATTCTATAATTTAGAAACAACCAAGGCTTGTGTGTGTGTGTATTTTTTATAAATCAATCAATCTTGTTGTCATTCCTGTTAATAGAAAATAATAAAAACATCTTATAAGAATGGGGTGGTATATACGTAAATACCCCTAGTTTTATTCAAAACATCAAATCTAAATTTATAAATTAATTAATCCATAACAAGCACTACAAAATCTAAATGTGCTTATCTGTTAAAATTAAATTTTATAACTCTCGCATTTATGCAATGCTCATGACACAAATAAAATAGATGTTCTAAAATAATTTTAACATCTTCTCGTGTTCAGGAAACATTAATCTTGATAAATATTAAATTTGGTTAAATAAAATTTAAGATTTTCAGAACTTCTTAAGCATTAGCACTTGCTCGACGGCATGGAAGCAACTGGGAAGAAAAAAATAAAAATCTCTTAGTTGCATGAGGCACAAGTTAAAAAAAAAAGAAAAGCTTTAATCACATAGTCACATGAAAGGGAAAAAAAAGGTTCTGTGAAAGGTAAAAAAAAAGTGAAGTGCTGATTCCGGAAACGAAAAAAAATAAACCTCACATTCCACGTCAGCATGCAACAGTGTTAAATGGACAACTGTACCTACTTTTAAATCTTATTTTTTATTTTACCGAATTCCATAATTTACATTTATAGTGTCATTTTCTAAAATTTTGCCATTGCCGCACTTTGTGTTTCCTATTATCCTTGCTTATTTGGGCCAGTTCCCAAACCGATTATTCTGTATTCTCTTATATCTAATTAAATGCCTGAATTCTGGTTGGCTAGCTAAGGAATTGATGTCAGGCTTCTTGGTTGTTTAAATGAAGGTTATAATTTATATGGAACTTCATGTGTTCTTAAGAACCTACTGGTTTATTTCATGACATTTTTTTGATTTGTTGCTTGCATCTTTGTTTTTATTCTAAGATCCTTTTTCTCTTGAAATCATCTTATACTACCATGGGTTATTCCTTCAAGAACACAGGTAAATTAGAAAAAAAACTTATGATAAGGTTCCAAGAGACGCCATTGAATAAAGAGGGTGCAAAAAAACAAAGCTTGTCAAAACGAATACCACGTTACTGGGTACCTACAATACAGCAGGTCCTGTATTGAATATGATGTTAGGAACAGAAAGATATACATAACCTTATGCCATAGTTGCTGTAACAGAATGATTGCAACTATTAGAGCGCCATTATTAACTGGCTTTTAATTTAGTCAATGAAATTGGATCATTCAAGCTCTTCAACATTAATCGATTGCCTTCAGATATTTTTTCATCACAGAATGTCATGTGTACATGTTTTGCTTCCTCTGCTTTCTTTATATAGTATAAGAATGCTTTGAAAGATTGAAAAAAATATGGTAATGCACTATTCTTATTTTGTTCAATCTTGTTTTTGGATCTATTCCAATTGTATATATTCAATAATTTCCAAATTGCAGCTCAAAATGAATTATTAGAAGGCGTAGGCTTCACTTAGTAATGATATGTAACCGTGTTGTATTATTTGGTGCGAAATGATGTCACTGTTTTCTAGAGTTGAAAAAACTGCTTTGCATATGAATGACTCGAGGTTGGGAGACAATGGAGAAGGTGCTTATCCAACAGAGTGCCGTCTGTTGCATGATTTCTGCGAGACTAGAACTTGTTTTTGAACCGTTTTTTGAAAGCAAGGCACTGAAAAGCTTGATCAAATTAGTGGAGAACTATTGCTTGTTGTGAGGGAGGATCTGCATTCACAAGGGATTATTTGAGCATTGAATGGTGATATTGTTAAATGTTTGTTTTTTCACCTTGATTGAGATGCTTTCCATCATGAAATCAAGCACTTAATGAAGTCGGTTTGGAAATGAAAATCTACTTCTTTGGGTTAATCAGAATCTAGTTGTTTACCTTCACTTCGTCACATCATCTTATTTGGAAGTTTTTTATAATTATTTTATGTTTGCTTCACTGGCTTGTTTAATCTCTTGTTCTGCCTGAAGGAGGGTGGCATTAGAAGTTGGCGTGCAGCTCGGTGAAGAAGTGGGCTATGCCATTCGGTTTGAAGATCGGACATCAGCTAAAACTTGCATCAAGTGAGATCTCCTTTATGAACAATTTCGTGATGTTTTACTGATCAGAATCTTGATTTTGTATATGAACACATATTCTTGACTCCCCTTGCTTGGAGTTCCCAGGTATCTCACTGATGGTGTTCTTCTCCGTGAAAGCCTCTCTAATCCAGAATTGAATCAATATTCAGTTATAATTCTTGATGAAGTTCACGAGAGAAGCTTAAACTCGTATGCTCATGTTCATACAATTTCTACTCTGTATTCATCACCATTTTTCTTGTGCTGTCTTTGCTTTTTGACATGTCACTTGATATCTGAATGGTTGTTGTTTGACAGTTAAAATGCGAAAGACATGTTCAAATTTTTTTGTTATGAATTGTAACAGTGTATACATGCTCTTTAGGTGACGTGGTTCTTATAATTTGCTAGTAAAATAATGGAATGGAAATTTACTTTTGATTATATTAATGATTATGTTTAAAATTAAGGTGTTAGATATGAAAATACGTAAGAATTTTGTGGTATGTATTTAAATTCCTTTTTTGAGAAAGTAAGGCTCAGAGTAAACATAAAGAGGCGAATAATGCGCTAACAAAAAAGGCAGTAGACCCAAGTAGTAGAGTATATTGGTTGCCAAGGATAGTTAGGATCGAATTTGTATATGTAGAAAAGCATAGCAGGGCCATCCAAGAGAATCCCTAGATTATGTAACTCGTTGTAGCCTTCTCTGAAAACCAATCCAAAAATAAGGAGGCAGCTGCTGAATTGAAACAAAGGTACAAGCGGTGAAATAAAATAATTATGTTAGGATACTTGATGCAAAAGGAGAAAGAAGACACTGCCACTGCAATGATTCACATTATTCATGATTTAATTGTTCCATATAATTTTCCAATAAATATCAACCACTAAATATTAATTCTGATGAACTACTTTTTAAGGCAGATTTTAAAGGCATTACTGAACTTGCAAATGACCTAAGGCTTTGACGAGCGAAAATACAAAGACATCTCGTGATGGAATCGAAGGTGGTGAAGCAAGAAGGGTTCACTTGGTAGCTTTTAACAGTGGTATTTCACAAGGAATATTGCGAGCAAATGATGAAAAGCTAACTTCGATACCACGGGGTTGGGGAAGCTTGTGTAAAGCTGAAGCTATGCTAATGAATGTAGCGAGGCAAGAAGTGTTCGCAGTAGCGTCTCACAAAATATCTCGTGAGCTTGGGGGAGAATGCGATGACCGGAGCTCGCGGAAGATTGCGTAGACAAGAGCTTGAAGTTTCTCCCTCGGTGAGTTTGTTTTATACAGAATTCGGGCGATTTTAAAATAATTTACTTTTAAGCTCTCGAGTGTATTTCTACTACTTTAAAATTGTATTTTACTTCTACATCAAACCAGAAAAAGTTAAAAGTCTTGCATTTATTTTACTTTACACCCAATTTACTTCAAAACAAATACTCTCTTAGAGAAAAAATATTCTTAGAGAGCAAAAATTTTGAAGTTTCTGTTTCTTAGGGAGAAAATTGGAGAGAGAGACGGGAGTAGAGAAAATGAGAGGGTAGAGAGATTTCGAGGTGATTTCTCTCTGTTTAGAGAGAAAGGGAGGTGAGGAGAGAGATTAGGTGAGACAGGCGGTTGTCACTGAGTTCGACAACAAGGTGTATTAGAGTTGTCTATTGCATGATGGTGTAGCGCATGAGAGTTTGGGGGATAGGAGGTCGCTTGCAAGTGATAGGGGATTGTTTGGGGCTATGATAATGTAGGAAAGATTGGGCTAATGTACAAAGGGCTTGATACGGGAGTGATATGCGACTTTAGGCTGAGTGGCTGTTGGGTTTGTTGTATTCTAGTTAAGAGGTGCAAATGAAAAAAGTGGTGAGTGAGTCAAAGGAAAGGAGAATGGGGTAGGCGGACTACAAGCAGTGGTAGTGGAGAGCCGTGTGAGAGGAGTTTGGGAGTTATGCAGGAAACAGGCTTTGGGGCTTTAGGTTGCGTAAGAGGCACTGAGAGGAGCAAATAGGGTTATTCTTGGAGACTGGATTTGGGTGACTGTTTTAGGTTATTATACTTCTTTTGTCTCATGATAGTACAAGTAAGGGACCCCACCTGTGATGCTATAGTTACAAAGATGGGGTAGGTAAGGGGATTAGCTGGATTCGACTAAAGGTTACAAGGATGGGCCTCGTGATTAGGCTTGATTTTTTATTTTATTTTTAATAATTTGATTTATTATTCACACACACACACAATTTTATTTAAAGGAACTTAAAATTGAAATATGTATCGATATTTTCATGTAGTTCATCATTCCTCATGTGTCCCAAATTTTATTATTGGCCACATGTGTGGGCAAATTTTGTGTTTCACATTTATGTGGAAATTTGGACAATATAGGTATTCTCTTTAGGTAATTATAATGTTTCAAATGCATTGGTGCGGTTTGTTTTGGGAACAAATGATGTTCAATTGATTTTTATGGCGACCGTTGCAATTTGACTCGATTTGTGTGATTTCATATTCGTAGTCTGATATATTGTCAATTAGTCATTTGGTGATTTGAGAGGTCCTTTTTTGTGTTTTTTAATGCTCTTTAGTGCAGCTTGTCTTGCGAGCAAGTAACATTTTTGGTAATTTCAGTTTGATTTTCTGTTTATTTTGCTGCATGATGTGACGAAAATTTGGACATTCTTCTTTGGTATCTTCAATATTTTGAACTAGTTGGCAAATTCCATTTGCAGAATGATTGATGGTTAGTTGGATTTGCTTTGCATGTGTGTTTCAACCATACTCTTTGCATTGGTTCAAGGTTATCTACTATTTTCTTTATATTTGATCGAGTTGAGTCTTGGGAGTTACATTGACGTCAACAAGGTTTAGATGCTCTTAGCCTATTATACAAAATAATGCAAACATTACTGAAGCTATAACTTTAAATTTGGATGATTAAGTTGAAATTTGCCTTTGAAGTTTTTGTGCGAGAATATCATAGAGACTTGAAAGTTAATTTGATGAAAATTAAGGTGACTCTGAGATGATCTTGGATGTGAAGAACGAAAATTAATCGTATTTGTTTCTTATGTAATTGCTTCCCATAATATAATGTTGCAAAGTGTTTGCACTGTAAAATGCTTCAATATGACAGGAACATTCAAGTCATATGAAAACTATAGAATTGGAAGCAGGTAAATAGAAACATAACCTTCTTTGAAGTTGAAAAAAAGATTTATTATGACCAGCGTTAACATCAATTTCAAGACTCATCACGAATCAATGGAGTAGAAGTATATATACAATAAACTAAATACTTTTCACAATGCTAATTTTATTTAATGTTATTGTGCATTTACTTATGCTTTCTCTATATATTTGCCTGTTTATATGCCAATTATGCAGCAGTGCATGTGTTTTAGTTCAGTTGCCACATGCTTGCTTTAACATTTGTTTACAGAGAAAAGTATCAAAATGATCTCGTTAAATATTTGTGAGATGCTATTTTAATCCTAAATTACGGAAAAAGCCTAATTTAGTCAGTAAATTTTTTAAACAGGGACTAAGATAATTTTACCGACTAAATTAAAATCAATGGCTAAAAATATGCATATTTTAGGGAAAAATAATTTTTCTTGATTTTTTAATTAAATATAGTTTTTTAGTTAATTCTTCATATATAGCAACTAACTTGACATATATTTTAGTGGTTTGAGATTATGTAGGTTGCTGAGCGAGTTGATTTTTTTGTAAGAAATAAGTTTGTTTGACATTTTTGTTTTTTGAGTCTATTGTAATAAAAAAATGAAACTCAATATATTTTGTTATGATGGAATTGTGATAACAATAATATCAAATAAGTTTCTTTATTATAAAAAATAAACTTGCTTTGTAACCTACATGTCTTAGCCACTTTGTGGTGTGCAAAGTTAGCTGTTGTAGCTGATGGGTAAGTTAAGTTGGAAGTTGGATTTACTATAAAATTTAAAAGAAATTATGTTTCCTTAAAACACTGATAACGTGACTATTTCTGTCCATATTTAACAGTTTCTGTATTAAATCGGGCTTCTACATAATCTGGGATTAAAATAACCCAACAAATTGTTGGAAGAACATTTTGATCCTTTTCTCTTTCTTTACATTTTGATGGATGAATGGATGAATGGACGAATGTAAATTTATTGAATGCCCAAGTGTACATAACCAGTAGCAAATACACGTGCCAGCTCAAAATATCTTCATCATAAAGTTATGCTTGTATTATGCTAACAAGTGTCTAATCTTCATCCTTGTTTTGTAGCTCTTTATAATCTACTTTTGACTGTGCTGCAAGATGTTTAGTTAGTACAAATTTGAGCATTTGGTGCATACTGTGTTTCAAGAGTTTTGTGTGTGGTACTTTTGTTATTTTGTTGCTTAGGTTTCTTAATTAAATTATCATGGAGCTTAACTATTTTCCTTATAGTACATTGACACGTATCCCATAGATATAAGATGATTTTGCTCTTAATTTTGTTTCATTAGGCAGTGACATAATACTTGGGTTGATGAAACGTTTGGTCAAGATTCGTTCTTCAAATTTAAGAGTTCTTATTACTTCAGCAACTTTGGATGGAGTGAAGGTATCAAAATTCTTTTCAGGCTGTCCGGTAATGAATATTCCCGGAAAGTTATTTCCTGTGGAAAAGTTGTACAGCTCCGAACGCCCTAAATGCTATATTGAATCATCCTTAAGAACTGCTCTTGGTGAGAACACAATTCTGAATTGCATACATCCCTTTTTTTAGTTTTCCTGCACCATTATTGGGCAACAATTCATTTCTTATATGTTAATGCTTCTTCATGTAAATTATAACTATGACTCGTTTTTTTGATTTTATTTGATTTTATTTGATTTTATTTGATTATACAATTGTATCCTACTCATTTTAACTTTTGGATCTGATTTATCCATTTGATAAGAACATATAACTTCAGTCTCGGCAACAATTCATTTCTTATATGATAATGCTTCTTTATGTATATTATAACTATGACTCTCGCCTTTTTGTTTTTATCTGATTATACATTTGTATCCTACTCATTTTAATATTTGGATCTGATTTATCCGTTTGATAAGAACAGTAACTTCAGTCTCTAATTGATCTTTTTTACAGTATCACACATTTTGTGAACGTCTCTTTCCGTTTCCATTGAAATAGTGCAATTTTGACTTGGCGAGGAGCTTTAAATCATTCAATCAACAAACTCAATCGTTTCATATCTAATTGTTTCCAAAGAAATTTGAATGATTGGGAAGCTGAGAACAGCATGGAGAACTTCATCAAGTTTCTCCAGTATTATTGAGTTTTATATTAGTAGTACCTGTAAGATCTTAAATATTGAAGAATGGACTATGTATGAAAACAAGCTATTCAGGGTTTCTTTCTTAACTTTCAAACGGGAAGAACCTGATATGTTGATTGCTCATTCTTCCAGTTTGACATGCTCATGCAAGTATCCACTATCTACATGTGTTTAAATACAATAAATGATACCGGAACTAGTTGTGATGTGGCGTAATACAATACAAGTAAACTTTTATTAATATAGAAATAGTTAAACAACACGACTCAAACAAAAAAGAAACACAATATTAGACGAATCCTTATGTAGAGCTATAAGAAGAGATTCAAAGGCGGTAGTGGTGTCGGCGGGATGAGTGGCCGTTGGGTACGTAAGTTGGTTGGTTATATGTGGATTGTATGGCGAGATCATGGAGGAAATAGGGGTGACGATAGGGAGGAATATGGGGGTGGTAGACAGCTAGGGGAGTGGTAGAGAAAGGGGTTGATGAGTAGTAGCGAAGGAGTTTGAAGTTTACAACACCACCTTGGAGCAGGAAACAACTGAAGCACCCCTTGTCATCGGGTGGGAAGAGACTTCACATAGAAGATTAGAAGAAAACTCTAGTGGAACTATCTCCCACACACTCAGGGGACAACTACTTTTAGCCTTCTACTTCTACACACCGAGAAATGGGTGGAAAAGACAAAAAAAATCCAGAACACTCTTCCCAAAAAAGATTAGATGCGAATAGCTCAACTGGATTGTGAGAATTTGCGGTCCCTCCCCCTACCGTAGGTTCCCTCGTGTTCGCGGGATTGCAGGTCCCAACCCGCTTTGCATAGTTTTGCGGGGCTTTGGCCCCCGCAGTTTCAAAGCACCCCTCTTTGGGGCTCTATTCTGCGTCCGAATTCGAGCGTTGTTCCAGGTTCCCGCGTTAGTCTCTCGGGGTTGGGGAAACTTCGACCTTGTTTGTCGAAGCTCCAGGCTCTTCAGAGTGTGGTCTTAAGTCGACGATGTTGAACGTGGCTGAAATGTTTTATTCCCCAGGCATGTCGATCTTATAAGCGTTATCTTTCAGCTTATGAAGTACTCTGAAATGTCCATCTGCTCTCAGCTTAAGCTTCCTGAGTGATTCTGTGTGAAATCTCTCCTTTTTCAACCTAATCCGTACGAGGTCACCTTCTTGAAACGTTAATTTCTTCGTGGATTTATTTGCCTGTACCAGGTATTTTTGATTATGCTTAGCAATTTCCTTGCCAACTTCTTTGTGGAGCTTCTGTATCTTGTGAACTCGTTTTGTGGCATCCTTTCTGATTTCTAAAGATGGTAGGAGCGGTACCAATTCAAGTGGCTTGTGCGGATTGTGCCCATACGCAATCTCGAAGGGAGTTCGTTCTGTAGTTTGGTTGATAGATTGGTTATAGGAAAACTCAGGTTGGGCTAGGATGAGATCCTATTGCTTTATGTTTTTTCCCACAAAACATTTCAGGAGATTACCGAGGGCTCAATTTACTACCTCTGTTTGTCCGTTTGTTTGTGGACAAGCTGAATTAAAGTTCGGTGCCTAGCTTTCCCCATAGTGTCCTCTAGAAGTGGCTCAGGAATTTGATGTCTTTGTCGGAGTTGATAGTCTTGGGAATTTCATGCAGCCTTTCAATCTCCTTGAAGTATAAATCAGTGATGTCAAGAGGCGTCTAGTGTCTAGTGACAGGGTACAAAGCAGGCCTTCTTGGAGAATGTCTACTACAACTATTACAAAATCCTTCTTCCTTTGTGTCCTTGGAATTTCTAACACTAATCCATGCTGATATCCACTCACGACGCCTCTGGTACTGGAAGTGGTGTGTATAATCCATCGTTCTGAGCTCTTGTTTTGGCCAGATGACAAATCTTGCATTTTTTGACATTTTGTTCTACATCTCTTGTTAGTTTTGGCAAAAAAAAAAAGTTCTCTTGCAAGGGCGAGGGTTTTGTTTCAACCGAAATATTCTGCTAGACCTCCGTTCTGGCATTCTTGAACAATGACCTCTCTTAGTGAACACTGGAGAATGCACAACTAACTCTGGTGGAATAAGTGCATCTGTGCGGTAATATTGCCCTGCTGGCTTTTCCTGACATTGCTCCTATATGTTTTTGAAATCTTCATCTGTTTCACATAGATCTTTATGACCTCGAAGCCCACAACTCGAGTCTACATGTTTGTGATCAATAAGTGTCGATGACTCAGTGATCTGCTACTCAGTTTTGGCTTCTCGCCTTGTGTTTTAGTACAAAACAGGAACGAGGTTATAAATTTCACCCAGGTGGCTTGTTGTCCCTTTAGTTTGTTCTGAATATTGAGGAATTTTAGGGCCTCGTGATCTGTAAATAGTATAAACTCGTATGTCAATAGGTAGTCGCTGCAGTGTTCCAGAGCTCTTATGATGACGTAGAATTCTATATCGTAAGTTGAGTATTTTCTCCTGGATTTGTTCAATTTCTCACTGAAAAAAGCGATGGGGTGTCCTCCTTAGCTTAGTACTACTCCGATCTCCACATCGGAGGCATCACATTCTAACTCGAAAAGTTGATTGAAGTCAAGTAGTGCTAGCACGGGCACCTGAGTTATCATTTCTTTCAATGTGTCAAAACTGTCCCGGGCTACTATTGTCCAAGTAATCTCCTTTCCTTTTAGAAATTTAGTCAAAGGAGAGGTAATAGTGTTGAAGTTTCTGATAAATCTTTGATAGAAAGACGCTAACCCCAAGAATTGCCTCAGCTCGGTGAATGATTGTGGTACCACCCAGTTGATAATAGCCTCGTCTTTACGGGATCCTTCTGAATGCCTGCTCTAGGCATGATGTAACATAGAGAACATACCTGGCTTGTCATGAAGTGACATTTCTTTGGATGGGCATATAGTTGCTTGACTCGCAGTATCTCAAATACTGCATTTAGGTGATGTAAATGATCTTCCAATCGGCTATATGCTAGGATGTCGTCAAAATAGACAATGATAAATTTCAAATGTGAGGTCGGAATACCTTGTTCATTAATCTCATGAAAGTGCTAGGCACGTTCGACAAACTAAAAGTCATAATGGTCAACTCATAAAGTCTGCTCGCGTCTTGATGGAAGTCTTCCACCTTTCTCTCGGCCTCATTTATTTTTGGTGATAGTTGCTGCCCAAGTTTATCTTAGAGAAGATAGTGACTCCATGTAGCTGGTCTAAGACATCATCTAAGCGGGTATGAGAAATCAGTACTTGATGGTAATCTTGTTGATGGCTCGGCTTTCAATGCAAATTCGTCACGATTCATCCTTTTTGGGCACCATTAGGGCCGGGACTGCACGCTGACTGGTGCTTTCTTCGACTAGCTCCATTGAAATGAGGTTCTGCACTTGCCTTTGTAGTTTTTCATACTCCGCAGGTCTTAATCTATAGGCTGGTCAGTTTGGTAATACAAATCCTGCTATAAGGTTGACGACATGCTGAATGTCACTTAGTAGTAGTAGTCTCTTTGGTAATTCGTCGGTCATAATATCCTGAAAGTCCTATATCAATGGTTGTAGTAGTATTGGTACTTCTTTCTTCCTTACTTCCTTCCAGGAGGAGTAATGACAGTGTTACAGGGGCAACTCTGAACGACTGCAAGAAAGGGGTACAAGGAATTAATGTTGTTTTTGTATCGCTCTCACCTTTGGTATCCTTAGCAAGTAGTAAAACTATACCTTTCCCATCCTTCTTGCAAGAATAAGTTTTTTTGAACCTGCCCTGTTGAGTCTTGCGATCAAACTGTCATGGCCTACCTAACATAATGTGGCAGACGTTCATAGGAATCACGTCGCACCATACCTGTTCATTTAGCTGGTCTCCGATGGAGAAGTCAATTAGGCACTGCTGATCCACACATATCTCATTGGCCTTCTTCAGCCAGGTAAGAGAATATGACTGGGATGTTTTTGTGTGTCAAATCCTAACTTTTTTACCATGAGCATGGACACCATGTTCTCGCAGCTCTCACTGTCGATGATTAGGCTACAGACCTTCCCATTAACTGTGCACTTGGTGCGAAAAATGTTATGCCTTAGCAAAGATTGGTCCTGCTCGGGCTCGGTCTGTAGTATTCACTGCATGACTAGTGCTTCTCCTTCATCTTTGTGGAGCTGAAGCTCTTCTTCTGGACTTTCCTCTGATTGCTCTTCGAGTTTCTCGATGGAGCCTTGATCCGTGAGTGTGAAGACTCAGCTTATTGTGCAGTTGGAGGCTATGTGACCATAGCAGTGACACCAGAAACAATTCGTGACTGACACTGTATTGGAGGAACTACCTTTCTTTGGGTTCTTCCTACTATGATTTGTCCATGTTTATCATTTCCTCTTGAGGTGCCTTTGTCGGCTGCAGCAGTTGCAATTGACTGCTCAGTTAGAGGTAGTGG